TTCCCTTTTCTTACCTAGAGAAATTGATGACAAAATATTAATGAATCAGAGCTCTTCTATATAGGCCCAGCTTAGAAGAGCAAATTGTTTGTCCTCCAGGAATTCTGAACAACTTATAGTTGAATAAGCTTTCCATTCCCATGTATTTACCCCTATTATAATAATTTTTGTTCATGTCTCCATTATAACTATTTTTTGGATCATAATGCAGTTGTTTTGCACATGTCTCTATTATGACAATACTGTACATGTTTCCTTTATAACAATTTTTGGATCATGGTATATTTGTTTGCATGTCCATGTTGCCTCACTAGACTACAAGTTCCTGCAGGGCAGGAATTATGTGTTTTCTTCTGGGTATCTTCAGTGACCAGCATGTTGTTGTTGTCATGTGCCATCGAGTCAATTCTGACTCATAGTGACCCTGTATGACAAAGTAGAATTGCCCCCTAGAGTTTTATAGGCTGTAATTTTTAAGGGAGTAGAGCACCAAGTCTTTTTTCCCATGGAGTGGCTGGTGGGTTTGAACTGACAACCTTTCAGTTGGCAGCAGAGTGCTTAACCATTGTGCAACCAGAGCTCCTTAGTGACCAGCATAAGGAGGTGCTCAGTAATTGTTGAATGAATGAATGAGTGAATGTATCTCTATGGATACTTAGCAGTGGAGATTTATGAGTCTGTCTTGATTGGTTGCTACATTGGCCCCTCCTTGTCTTGTTGGCTGGTCTGGCCACGTGTGGGCCTGCTTTGGTTTTCTAATATTGAGAATATTACTGTTTCCAAGTGTCTTCTAATGGAGTTGTTTCATCGTTTAGTTGGAAAAACTGCTATATTATTTCAAATGGTTGTGAAATAATAAAACAAATAATAACCTCAAATGCCAGAAAACATTATTTTCATGAAACTTTACAAAAAACAGTTCTACGAGATCCACTTACAAAATTTATACAAACTGAGAAAATAGTGTTACACACTACTGAGTGCCATGTATTATTTTTATAATAGGAACAAGAATGTTTGCTATACAGCAGTATGTGCTTAGGATAAAAATATCTTCTCAAATAAGCCAGGGCATTTCCTCTGTGTTAAGCCACAGGATGGAGCAGTGAGGGGGAAGTGATTTATAGATTATAACATTTAAATATTACTTTTCTGAATCAATTCTCGTTTAAATATGGCAAGGTGAAAAGCTAAAGTCACTTGAGATTTGCCCTGATGGTGCAGTGGTTAACAGCTCGGCTGCTAACCAAAAGGTCAGCAGTTCAAATCCATCAGCCGCTCCTTAGAAACCCTATGGGTCAGTTCTACTCTGTCCTAAAAGGTTGCTATGAGTTGGAATCTACTCAATGGCAATGGTTTTTTTGGGGCAAAAGGACATAAAGATACTTGCTTGTCATTGTTTGGAGCATAAATGAAAGACAGAAATTTTAGGTTTCGATTTTATCCATTATGGTTAGGCTGGGATGTATATAACATAAAACTCCAAATAATAGTGGATCAAACATAAAGCCAATAATCCATTGCCGTTGAGTCAATTCCGACTCATAGTGACCCTACAGAACATAAGCATTTATTTTTCTTTCATGTAAAACAATTCCTCAGGTAAAAAGAAGAGTCCAAGACTGGCATGGTACCTTCTTGGTCATCAAAACTCCTTCTTTCTGCTTCACTGTTACTAGCACTCGGTTTCTATTCAAGTTTGCCTCATGGTCCAATGTTGTTGCTGGAGCTTGAGCCATCACATCTGTAATACAGGAGAAAAGGAAAGAGAACGAAGAAGCAAAAGATGAAGGGGAAAAGGGTATTATTTCCTGCTTAGTCAGTGCTCTTTAGAGGAACTTCCTGGAAAGCTTCCAGCCAATGACTTTCACTTACATCTCATAACCACTATGTTATGGATTGAATTGGGTCCCCCCAAAATGTATGTCAACTTGGCTAGGCCATGATTCCCAGTATTGTGTGGTAGTACACCGTTTTGTGATCTGATGTGATTATCCTATGTGTTGTAAATCCTATCTCTATGATGTCAATGAGGCAGGACTAGAAGGAGTTAAGTTAATGAGTCAGGACTCAATCTACAGGATTAGGTTGTATGTTGAGTCAATCTCTTCTGAGATATAAAAGACAGAATTGAGCAAAGAGGAAAGATATGCCACCAGAAATGAAGAACCAGGAGAGTGTGTCCTTTGGATCCAAGGTCCCTGAGCTGAGAATCTCCTAGACCAGGAAACTGATGACAAGGACCTTCCCCCAGAGCTGACAGAGCGAGAAAGCCTTCCCCTGGAGCTAGTACCCTGAATTCGGACTTCTAGCATCCTAGACTGTGAGAGAATAAATTTGTCTATCTTAAAGCCACCCACTTGTGTATTTCTGTTATAGCAGCACTAGATAACTAAGACACACTACTAGCAGTGAGAGGCTGGGAAATGCTGTCTGCTAGCTGTGCACTTTGTGGTCCCAAATAAAGTCAGAATTTTGATACCAAGGAAGAAGAGGAAATAGCTGTTGAGAGCAAACCAGTAATCTTTAATACTTTGTGAACCAGACAGATAATAGTTTAAAAAAAAAACCTTAATACTTCTTGGATTTATTGGATAATCAGAGCACTTATGGGAATATATAAATGCAGATTGCCTAAACATAAACAAAATGCCTGACAGGGATGCCAGGAGTGCTGTCTAGGGGAAAGGCAGGCTTTCATCTCTTGAGAAGCCTCATGGGGTAGTTAATATTTATTAGGTTGGTGAATTATCAAGGTTCAGGGTTTGACCTTCATTTCTGCAGGGATTGAAACTTGATTTTTTCACTGCATCAAAAGTGGATTTGTCTCTCAAAGAGAAATTCAAATTACCCCAACTTACAGGTAAAAAGTCATAGATGAAGGAAAGCAAAATGTTTTTTTATTTTCAATGAGAAATAACTGTCACAAGGAACAAAATGCTTACAAAAGGTTGCTTGGTGAACATGGAATCAGAAAAAGACCAGGTAAGTCAACTGAAAATGTCTCTGGGTAGCACAAATGGTCTGTGCTGAACTGCTAACCTAAAGGGAGCCTGGGTGGCACAGTAGTAGTTAAGTGCTTGACTCCTAACTGGAAAGGTCGGTTGTTCAAACCCATCTGCTGCTCCATGGGAGAAAGATGTGGCAGTCTACTTCCATAAAGATTTATAGCCTTGGAAATCCTATGCAGCAGTTCTCCTCTGGCCTTTAGGGTCACTATGAGTTGAAATTGACTCTACAGCAATAGGTTTGGGTTTTGACTAACCTAAAGGTTGCCCGTTTGAACCCACTCAGCAGCACCATGGAAGAAAAACCTGGTTATAGGCTCCCGTAAAGATTACAGCTAAGAAAACTCTGTGAAGCAGGTCAGGCTACAGTAAGTATGGCTTACCATGGGACCAGAACGCAGGTCTGGGACTAAGTCTCCCTCCCTTCCCCAGTTAGTACTTGTTGGTGCACTGCCTATGTTGAGTCCATTTTACTGTAACCATGGTTGTCCCCCTCCCCTTCTGGCTGAGATACTCAATCCTGAGATTTGTAAACCTTCAAGGAGATTCCAGCTAGTCTTGCAGGCATGGGATGCTCAGTCTCTTCAGAGTGATTTTGCATCTCTGCTCTGGCCTAATTATATGAAGTCGAAATTTTAACTCACAGAAGGCAATTTTATTCTCCTTCCTTCCAGGTCTCCAGCAGAAGCCTCAGTGTAAACCCTATATACTGACTCTGTGGTTGTTGTTGTTAGCTGTCCCATGCACAGTGGAATGAAATGCTGCCTGAGCCATTCCCATGATCAGCTGCAGATCAGACTGTTGTGATCCATAGGGTTTTCTTTGGCTGAGTTTTGGAAGTAGATTGCCAGGCCTTTCTTCCAAGTCCATCTTAGTCTGAAGCTCCGCTGAAATCTGTTCAGCCCGATAACAAATGCAAATCACCACTGACAGATGGGTGGTGGCTGCGCATGAGGTACACTGGCTGGAATCAAACCCTGGATTCCCACATGGAAGGAGAGAATTCTACTGGTAAACCACCAGCGTCCTCATGCTGACTCTAGTAAGCTGTAACATAGACACTTAGGGTTCAAACCAGAAAATGAATGTGATCCTTTCATGCTAGAGCCTAAGCAGTGATAAGGAGGGTATGTAAATTTAGAGTTGACTGAGATAACTCAGCAAAAAGCCGGAAGAAGTCAAGCTCGTAAACAGGAAGTCAATGTGTGAAAGCTTAAAAGCAGGACCGACTCATTCAAAATACAATGAATCTGACTGTCCAGTCAGCATGTATTTGGTTCTCAAATAACCATAAGACATTATATAAGTAACTTCTCTGGCGTGTTTTGGTAATCTTGTGAAATTGTAAGCTTTTTGAGAGAACTGGGTACGTTGTAAACAGGCAGATGGAGCACATGTCTCCTTCTTTCCTCATCACATGGATGTCTTTTCCCTAACTGAGAGCTTAGTCAAAGAGGAAGAGCTTCCCCAATTGACCAAGAGTCGACCTCCTTTAATTAGATACCTTTTTTGCACAATCAAGCTCTGAAGCACTGCTCTTCAGATCCTTGGAGGGTGAGTGGGGATTTATTATGTGCAAACACTGTGAGTCAGAAGGTAGGACTAATTTTTCTACCTGGTTCTAGACTGGTTTAGTTGCTTACCTGAATTAACATTCATTTATTTCATGGGTTATATTTGGACCTAATTGTTCTTAATGCTGTCACTTTCTATTAAAACAGGGTGGACATAAAAGCATGAAGTGTTCTTGTATGTCTGTGGGGAAAGCAAACGTGCTCTATTCACAGTCATGAAGAAGGGAGAAAATGGATGACTCAGAGAGACACCGCCACCACCACCACGAGTTGCAGTTGAGTCAGCTCTGACTCATGGTGACCTCATGTGTGTCAGAGTAGAACTGTGCTCCATAGGGTTTTCAGTGGTTGATTTTTTAGATGTGGATCACCAGGCCATTCTTCGGAGGCATCTCTGGGTGGACTTGAACCTCCAGCCTTTTGGTTAGCAGACAAGCACATTAATCATTTGCACCACCCAGAAACTCAGCAAACCGTTTTCCCCTAAAACCTTTAAGCGATTGTTAAATCTGGCTATTTGCCTCAACTGACTCTCAACTTCCCTTTGAGGTCGTGGATAGAATCAAATAAGCTCTCAAAGACAGAACGCCCCAAATTAAAATACTATCTTCTTTTAGGCTCCGCTGGGGAGATATTCATATGTTTAACCAAATAGTATTTCCCTGAAAGGATAAGGAATACATTTCAGTTGTGGCTCCTTTATCAGCTGCTTGTCAAAATAAACTGTTTATCTTCCAATTTCAGAGTCTCCAGGTCTGCCACAGCTGTTGAAAGAAGCCTCCTGTCTGGCAGTTTAATCTAGTTTGACTATTGGATGTCAACAGCATAGGTTCTGAAATAAAAAAGCAACTCTCAGGTTTTAGTAACAGCTTCTCAGGATACTCACCAACTGGAATCAGGGGTGATCTCAACAGTCCTTGTTGTTAAAGAGACTTACAGAGATAAACTCCATGGATTTGAAACTTAGAGGAAATAGATATATAATTATTTTTTAAATAGTGAGTCCAGAGTCTCTCCAAAATTTCCCCTTTCTTTTCTTACAAAGTATACTCTGGGATTTTGGGGTCATAATCAATATATTTTTAATGAATCAAAATAACACAAGATGAAATATTTAAAGAAAAGTGTTTTTACTTCTATCTTCTCAAAACATTTCTGTAATTTTAATTAGGTTACTTTTTACCAGTGCTTCCATTTGTCTATGCAGTCATAGTTCAGTGTTGTGCTTGTTACTGGTTTCCAAGAACCATGCCAAAAATTAACCAACCAACCAACTAACCAACCAACCAACTAACCAACCAACCAACCAAAAACATCCATTTCTATATGAATGTAAGAAAACTCAATGTGTCACCTGGAAATGAACACTATTTACCCCCTGACACTCAAATTAAATATAAAAGCTGAGGTTAACTTTTGACTTCTGACTATTGATGGAGGAGAAGCCTGAAGGACTCTCCCCGTCCCCCACCACCACCCCAGATTAGAAATTGTTACTGCTCTAGTCATTGGACTACCCCAGACTAAGGCAGCTGAGACCCTCAAGTGCACTTACTGAATTGCACTCTGATCTTAAGCCATCAGTTTACCCTGAAGCATTTATACAAAACAATCCCATGCTGTATAATCCCCATTGCTGTCTTTATTGTAAGATGTTATTAAGGCTGTTCATTATCGGTGGATTTCAGATTTACCCATTTATCAGAATCAATTGACTTGCTTTTAAACAATACAGATTTTCAGGCCCACCTCAAACTTATTCAATCTGAATTTTTGGGCAAGGGGCCAGGGAATTCTGTATTAAAAACAATCTTCTCAGGTGATCCTGATGCCTTTGGTAGGAGTATGGGAACCATGGCACAGTGTCCTTAAGCAGACAATGGGAAAATTTCTCTCTAGTTTCAGTTCCAGCACAAGTGGTCCTACTTCTGGGCAAAGCAAATAGTTTATTTTTATTTCCTGGAGACTGTCATTCACATAACGGATAGTGTTGATCTTTTTGCATTGGCTAATGGAAAGCATAAAGCTAAATGTCACTCCTTCTAGCAAACATATAGGAAGAAACTGAAGGGACTTTGGGCATTAACAACAGTCTGGCCTTCATCTTTTTCCTACTCTCATTTCCCCTTTGCCTCAATTTCTTCCCCAAATTACTTTTTAAATTTTATTTTATTGCAGGTATTTGCGTACACTGATTAAGTCCTTTCTGGAACAAAGTATGGCATAAATAAATAATAAATGCTATCCTAAATATTTCTATAAACCTTGATGATTCTTTTCTAATTTGAGTTGGGGTATTAGCATTTACTGTTTCTTTTCAAAAAAGACAACATATGACGATCCAGCAGAAATCACAAGGTATACCTAGTTGAAGATGGTATCATTACTGTCTTGTTTAATCATCTGTTTGCCCTTTGGGAATGGCAGGTGGAGTAGGGGGTTATCATTTGCTATACCTTATTTCCATAAAAGACAAAACAGTCTTCTAAATTTTATTCAGAATGAAATCAGCACAGTAGAGATACATTAGTGATAGATGAGAAAAAGCACTTGATTCCTTAACAAAATCAGCCCTAAGGGGGCAGAACTAGATGCCAACTGTGCCCTGTTTTAACTACAACAAATCATATCTGAAGATCAAGTTGGCCTGTAGATCATGTTATGAAAAAAAGCAAGTGACTAGTAGATCCAAGAAAATCACTCGTAATTTTAACTTGCAAGTTTGCTTTTGATCCAAGCCTCATATTTCTTGGTTAATAGGGTGTAGATTCCAGGTTTCTTAGCTTCACCACATTTGTGACCTCCAGAAACTATGGCACAGAAGACACCTTTACAGATCAAGGGGCCACCTGAGTCACCCTGGAAAGAAGAAAATGGGCAGATACTTGGTCAGAAGCTGTTGAGCTGTTTCTATTACCAATGGTTGATTACTCAAAGGGTTATGATCTGGGTCCTTTGTTTCTTTGTGTCCTGAAGAGTGCCTGACATAGGCTTTTGCTCAGTATAGATGCTTTATGTCTTTTGTCAATGATGCTCTCTCTCTCTACATGTCTCTATGACCATGGCTATGATTATGTCTCTGTCTCTGTCCATGTCCCTGTCTCTATGTCGATGTCTATGTCTCTGTTCTACCTTGGCCTATGTCTATGTATATATACACTCTTTCAGTGATCAGTGAGTACTGAACTCTGTTAGTTAAAAAATGAGTGGAGACAAAGTTTGAAATAATCCACTGAAATAAATGAAATTAAAAAAATTCTGAATTTCATTTTTGTTCTCACGGACCTTAAATCAAGTGGCCATTCAGCCTAACAGAAAAGAGCAATGTATGTAAATGTCTTGATGGTGGGGACTATATCTTGTCTACTTTTGTTTGTTTTTTCACATCCTCATACTAGTGCTATGTACATATGCAACACTTAGTAAACGCTCATTGGATGAAATGAATTTTGGGGACTCAATCTGACAACAAAATATGTAACTAAAATTTTGTCAAGAGGAAGGAGAGAGTTATAGAGATGGTGACATGGACTTGCATTTGAAGAGCTGGGTTTCAAATCTGAAGACCAGCCTTTTTCCTGGCTGCCAGTCATGTTGCAAACTTTAGTGCTTTGTATTCTGATCAGTCAGGACATTGATGTTTAAGAGGATGATAATCTTGGGGAACTGCAGATACAAAGAATCTTTGAAATCACTACTCCTCATCCCTCAAGTAATGCTTAGTATAGTATGATGTGAATATTCTAAATTTTTAAAAATTAGTAATTCATCTATGCTACATATTAAAAAACAAAACAAAACCAGTTGTCATAGAGTTGATTTTGACTCATGGCAATCCCATGCATGTTGGAGTAGAACTGTGTTCTATAGGGTTTTCAATGGCTGTGATCTTTCAGAAGTAGATTTCCAGGCCTTTCTTATGAGGCGCCTCTGGGTGGGTTGGAACTGCCAACCTTTCAGTTAGTGGCTGAATGCTTAATGGTTTGCACCACTTAGGGATTCCATACGCTATGTATTTGTCACCTATGAAGATGAACATGCTTTTTTTTTAACTATCTCAGGGAACTATAGCTTTTGAAAAGTATGACAGTTTATTTTTGGTCAGTCAATCGACATTATTTAAGAAACTATATATTTGAGTTTTTTTTGCATTTGAGTCTTATGAGATCCCTCTATTGACTAATTTATAAAGTATTTGTTTTTTTGGATAAGTTACGTTCTCCTAGTCACCTCTAGTGACCTCAGGGTTGGTAAGCTTTCCGAGGACAGTAACATCCTTCATAGGAAGCCTGCAAACGTTTAGATATAGTTTACTATCCTCATTAACAAACATTTAACGAGTGCTTATTAGGCACTGGATAGAGTCTTCCAACTCATTCATGCTGGTACATGAGAAGGAATAGAGGCTGCCACTGAGGAACGGAGAATAAATTTTTAGAACTGTGACCTCATGTCCTCCATGTGGCTCCTTCACTGTGTTAGTGAGTGACTGGAGCCTGACAGCAGTTGAACACTCTGAGCTACCTGTATGAAGGATATCCAAGACACTTAGCCAAAAAACAAAAACAAAAACAAAACAAACCCATTGCCAATGAGTCGATTCTGACTCATAGTGACCCTATAGGACAGAGTAGAACTGCCCCATAGGGTTTCCAAGGCGGTAAACCTTTATGGAAGCTGACCGCCACATCTTTCTCCCACAGAGTAGCTGGTGGATTTGAACCACCAAACTTTCTGTTAGAAGTTGAGCGCTTAACCACTGCACCACCAGGGCTTCTGGTCCCAAGACTTACCCGGCAGGAATCCTTCTGGCCTTTGGTGTCTCCTGCACATACCATGTCTTTAGTTATAATAGGGTTGTGGTTGTAATAACTTTGGCTGTTGCAAAGTTTTCGACTTATCACAGTAACAGTGACTTTTTGCAGGGTATCCGAGGGGCTTAACGAATCTGGCTCAGTGGTTCCCCAGCCAGCAACCTGGCATTTGGTTCCAGCTCTAATATCGTTTTTGAATCTTATGTGGAGCAGCTGGACATTCTTGTCGAGTTTTGCAGCTGTGTGAAGCTGACAGATTGAAAAGAGAATAAATTATCATTCATCCTCAGTAAGATTCTGGTGTATGTGTGGTCCCTCTGTCCTAGGAGAGCATCCCTCTTTTCGAATCTACTTTGGTGGTAGCTCACAGCTGTCTTCGTGGTTGTTGCTTTTCTGGACATGCTCTCCATTCCCTTTAGAGCTTAGTGATGCTTGGGGAAAGAGCTTACACAGAGTAGGAATTCTGCCCAGTCTCCAGCACACTGGCCTTTGCCCTGCATTGGATGGTTTCTGTGGAATAGCATCCGTAGGTCATGACTTTGAGGACTGGGCTATTTCCTGCTGTATAGGACCCTTGAGTATGGTCTAGACTAAGTTTGGACTAGATTAAGTATGGTCTAGACTAAGTTGTAACTCACTGCTGAGTCCCTGAAGTCACTTGGTTGGCTCTGTTGTATAAACTACTGTTACACTTTTCACTTGATAATGAAAAAAGCATTTGGGAAAAAGACTTTCAGTGTGGATCATTGAGATGTTCCTCTCCCACGTATGTGAGCATCAGAGTTGCCTCTCCTTGTATAAACAGCCCTGATGCATTTCTGATAAATTCTTGTCCTTTTTCAGGCAGCTTATGGAGTAATCTGGACCCTTATAGAATATGTCACAATCACCTCAAAAAAGGGGAGGATGCTAACAAAATACTTCTGTGTGAATGGTTTAACTAACTGAGCTGTGCTGTACAATAATGTCAGAGAAATTACAGGGAAGTGATGCTACTTACCTTAATCAGCATGATATCATTCGATTTAGGATCTGATTTAAATCTTGAGAATGGTATGAGTTTTTTAATCTCAAATATTTGTTTGGAGGCCTCATTCTTTGAGAGAGAGTGTGCTCCTAAAACCACCTTGGGAGACTTGCCTTTGGCAAAGCTGAAAAAGCAAAGAGATCAGCTAAAATCAACCTTAAGAATACAGACAGCGAAGTGGAAGACACACCGTGGGGCTGTATGTGTTCAACCTGCATGACCAGGCATGGGGGCTAGTCTACAGAAGGAGGGAGGACATGTCTGCAGCTTCTTGGATGCTCTAGGACAGTGAAGGGAAGGTTAGGAGAAAACATTCTTCTACATGCAGTATCTGTGATCCCAGCCTACATATTTCAGAAACTAGGACTCCAAGAACATGGAGTGTAAGAGGAAAGCTAAAGTTTGGACAGCTTAAAAAAAAACAAAACCCAGTTGCCACAGAGTCAATTCTGACTCATGGCAACCCCATGTGTGTCAGAGTAGAACTGTGCTCCATAGGGTTTTCAGTGGGTGATTTTTCAGAAGTAGATCACCATGTCTGTTTTCCGAGGCACCTCTGGGTGGATCTGAACCTCCAGCATTTCAGGTAGCACCCAGGAATTCTGAATAGCTTAAAACCTGCTGCCTCTGAGTCGATTCCAACTCACAACAACCCTATAGGACAGAGTAGAACTGCCCTATAGGGATTCCAAGGAGCGTCTGGTGAATTTGAACTGCCGACATTTTGGGTAGCAGCTGAGCTCTTAACCACTGCGCCACCAGGGCTCCCTGAACAGCTTGTTGTTGTTAGGTGCCGTGGAGTCCATTCCGATTCATAGTGAATTCATAAGTACAATAAAACGAAACACCACCCAGTCCCGTGCCATCCTCATGATCGTTGTTATGCCTGAGCCCATTGTTGCAGCCACAGTGTCAATCCATCTCATTGAGGGTCTTCAGCTTAGACAGACTGAAAATCCTAAACAGCTTAGACAGAGTGAAAATCTCTGTCCAGAGATGCAAAAGCTCATCACTACTTGGAGGTTGAGATTGGGGAATGCTGTACCGGAGCTGGCCTGAAACAGACAGAAAATTTCTGAGGAAGCTCTCTAATCTCAAGCAGAGTCACAATGAGTTGATAAGTTGCAAATTCATTATAAATGGACTACATGTTACTTAAGCTTCCTACTAATTGAAGAGTTTACTTAAAAAAAATCAATCTAATTGTCTAATGAATTTGTATAACATTAAAGTGAGCGGTTCCAAAAAAGATGTAATATGCTGATAAACTAAGGTGGGGCAAATATAGCATTTTAGGCTTGGCTCTGGCACATCAGTATTCCCTGGTGGCAGTTTGTGTAGTGCAAATGCATCTACACTTCAGAGAACTAAGTGAACTATCTTAGAATGGTAGTTGCATTATTTGTCGTTACTTCACAGATTTTGTTTTGCAATGCAATTCTTTAGTGAATTTTTTTGTTACAATACTTGTGCTCTACCATCTGGAAAGAAGTACCTTTGCTTCTTAAATTGAACAAAGGCTATCTTTTGCCAAGTGGCAAAATTGAGAAAATTCTACTCATTACCTTATTTTTTTCCTGTTTGTCTCCATTATTTTGACTTAAGCCACATTTTATCTGTTAGTAAAAGACAGGTTAGCAGACATCAGAACAAATAGCAGAAAAAAAATCAATAAAAAATGGAATCAGTTTGTTTGTTTAACTAATAGAACAATATGAAATTTCTGCTAATGAAAATGGCAATTTTGGACTTCAAGGCAACATGGCACTATAGTCAGAAGCACCACACCGTCCCTCTGCAGCAAAGATCAGAAAAACTAAGTTAAACAGAGTCACACGTCAATCCTGAAAC